GTAGGATATTTCTTTCAAAGGGTTAAGTGCCAATTACAACAAATGGAAAGTAAGGAACTACATTTATCTCCTGCCAAGGGACAGTCGAGTCTACGATTTGAAAGAAGGTCTGCGCGAAAAATCCTGTGATCCCATAAGAAAATTACACAAGAAGGGAGGGAGGCATTATACCCTTGAGCTGGGATCCCATAACAAAATTGTATTTCCAAATCATATTGTAAGGGAGATAGCATTATACTCTTTAAAGCTGCCTTCCGGATCTCATGACCAAGTCCAATGATCGATGAGGTTATTTGGTTGGAAATCTGCCAAAATATGAGATACCAGGAATCCCTTTAAGGATTTCATTATCCGACCAAAGATTTTAACAAAGGTAGCCAACCTTAGTATTACTCAATTGGGTGAGACGTATATCCACGACGAAGAGGTCAAGGTTCAAATTCTTATACTCCAATGTTGTTGAACTCTAAAAGGGGGAGAAATAAATAGATCTTTCTACGTTGAAGAGCCAAAGCTTACGGCCACTTTCATTCTTGAGTAAATAAGGTCTTTGTGCTAGAGAGTATTTTTGCTATAGCCTCTTGGAGAATGAAGAGAAAGTGCCTGATCTCTTGCTAAACTGGAAGATCATTTCCCAATGTCATTAGTTCAATCATTTACACTGCAATTATTGAACTCAAAATAAAACAATTTTATTCTTTTATCCCATTTAAGATGTTATAAATAGTGCATGGATTTGTATGTCCTTTTTAAGATAAAGATAGGTTCTTAATGGGTAAGAAAGACAGCTTTCTCAACGGGTAATTTATGGAGAAGGGGGCATTCTGTAGAGTTTTAGGATTCTATGAAGATGCTTGATATTTAATCTATTCTGAGTGCGACCGTCAAGATGAAGTACATAAACGTTGTAAGTTTGTGAGTTAATGTCGAGATTGATTTAACTATATTTCTGGGATAACTCCTCTTTCCAATCCCCGACTCTGTCTCATTTATGGAAGCATTACTCTTCTAATTTCTATTTGCTTGATTTGCAATTGAGGGGCTCGATTGAACTTGTTTTTGTTGGGTTGGATTTTTGTGCTTTCATCAGTCATAAAGCTTTTAAGTAGGATTTCATTTATGACATAGACTAGGGTTCTGAAACACTCCTTTCTTGTTCATCTAAAGGTGATTATAAAAATGAAGGTTCCTCATTTGTTGCTCTTTGACTGGGTTTCTCTTGGAAAACTAAATGAGCTAGTAACTACTTTCTTGGAAACTCTTGATGTATGGTGATTTTGTTGTTGAATTGTCAGATAAATTTATATTCATTTTGAGAAGCAAAAGAGTCAATTTTCATTGAGAATTTACAAAAGAAAGGACTGAAGGTCTCAACTCCAAGCCTTCTAAAGTATGATAATGATAGGAATGTATTAGGGTGTTATTAGGATATTAGGAGTTGGAATTTATTTATCAACAAGGACACTGAACCAAGGGAAGAATTGTATAGCTTCTTCTCTCTCTATCCCAAGTACAAAACTCTCTCTAACAAGATGCACTAGCAAAATCATACCCTTTCGAACCCGTCCTTATAGTCCATCTCTCAGTACAACTCACTCTTGAGCTCCACCATTCTAACAAAATAATAGCAACATAATTCCCCACGCTCCTTCCTCACGTGCCTATGTTTATACACATGCTTAATTGGGGTTTATCACTACTCGACCCCCAAAAAGCCACCTTATCCTCGAGGTGAAATTCAGAAAATCGAATGGAAATTTGAGTAACATCTTCCCAAGTAGCATTAGTGACATCAAATCCCTCCCATTGAAGCAGCACTTCCAGCTTTCATGCATCTCCAGGAGCTTGTCTCAACCCCAAAAGTTAGATGAGCTTCACATGAATCAACAACTCTGGCAAGAGATTATCTGGTAGAAGCAATTTGAACCTAGTTCAATTAATTAACACATCAAGTCTTTGACAAAAAAGTAAGACCGTTCTAATTTCTACCCAGTTAGGCCTCCTATTACTAGTACTGTTAGGAATCACGAACCTCTATGATGGTACTATATTGTCCACTTTGAGCATAAACTCTCATGGTTTTACTTTGGACTTCCCCAAAAGGCATCATACCAATGGAGATAGTATTACTCACTTATAAACTCATGATCTTCCACTAAATTAGCCAATGCAGGACTCCCTCCCAACACTCCTTAACAAGTACTTATGTCAGAACTCAGAAGGAATAAAGATGGGATGAGTGGGGAAGGTTGACTTAATTAGCAATCCTATTTTGTTGTGCTTCTTGTCAGTTGGGTTGTTTTTATTTTTTATTTGGGCCTTGTTATTATGGACCTTATTTGTCTTGTTGTTATTATGGGCAGTTGGTTTTCACTAATGATTTACTATAAGGGGATATTTTTTATGTACTGGTTATAGTTGATTCAAGGGCATAGAAGAGGAGATAAAGATGGAGATGGTAGCGTGCCTCGGAAGAAGAATACAACACAGATGTATGGATTTGGGTCTAATGATGAGTCAGGCACTCAAATTCCAACCCAAGCCCAATCCATTGTGGAAGGATCAGGGTCAGTTATGGTGTCTGAGTTCAAACCAGTTCCTGATGTTGATTATCTACAGGTGAGTGTTGCGGGATCTCGTTTTTTTCTTTTTCTTTTTAATGGCTATGAAACTAGTAACAACTTTAGTCCTACTCCTGTCCTTCCTCGAAAAGGAAAAAGAAAAAACGAACAAGCTCACAAAATGTCCTCAACTACCTATAAGAACGGGCTTCAATCCGAAAAGCCCCGACAATGAAACAAATCTGGGTAACCTTTTATTAAAAGCTTAAACCATAGCATGACAATAAGCAGTAAGTGGGCCTAGTCTTTGCCTTCTTCAGTGGCCAAGTTTCAGCGTTCAATGTCGGCCTACCACCTTTGTGCATTCGCTATTCGGTTCTATCCTCGATCCCACCCTATTAAACTTCCCCAAGGTTCTCTCTGACTTTTCAGTGAAAAAAAAGGGGTGACAATCGTTAGACTTAAATTTCTATGTCGTCGTCTCATCAATGAGCGTAGATTGATAGAGATGACTTTTGTGCTGGTCAATCTATATCCCATTCTTCATGTATAGGTTTGTTTTATCACAGATCGGCGGGTGATCCATACTTTCAGCCACAGCCCACAATTTCTCGATTATAGTGCTTGGTGTGAAGTTGAGCTCCCCTTCCAAATTACAATGTTTTTTTTTTTTTTTTTACTTTTGCAGGAGTTATTGGCTATTCAACAACAAGGTCCAAGAGCCATTGGTTTCTTTGGAACTCGAAATATGGGTTTCTTGCATCAAGAACTCATTGAGATTCTTAGCTATGCAATGGTTATAACGGTAGAATATGTGATTTAATGTGATGCGTTATACAGAGGGCTATTCTTTGTTTGATGACTGCATAACTTGACATTACTTGGTATCATCGTCTGTGTGCAGAAGAATCACATCTATACTTCAGGAGCATCTGGAACCAATGCAGCAGTTATCAGAGGTGCATTGAGGGCTGAGAAACCAGAACTTCTTACTGTCATTTTGCCACAAAGTTTGAAAAAACAACCCCCTGAGAGCCAGGAATTATTATCCAAAGTAAGATTGATTGCCTATAAAAATCTCTACTTTACTTATTTATGTGAGAGATATCAATAAAACCGTGTTTGTTCTTGTTAATCGTCTCTTTGGGCTTTCTCTTTTGGGCTTCTCCTCAAGATTTTTTAAAACGCGTATGCTAGGGAAAGGTTTCCACACCCTTACAAAAGGTGTTTCTTTCTCATCTCCAACCAATGTGAGCTTCTCACAATCTACCCCTTTTGGGGCCCAGTGTCCTATTGGCACACCGTCTCGTGTCTACCCCCTTTGGGGAACAGCCTCCTCGCTGGCACATCGTCCGATGCCGGTGTCTAACTCTTATACCATTTGTAATGGCCCAAGCCTACCGCTAGCAGACATTGTCTTTTTTGGACTTTCCCTTTCGAGATTCCTCTCAAGGTTATTTTTTAACGCGTCTGCTAGGACAAGGTTTCCACACCCTTATAAAGGGTGTTTTGTTATCCTCTTCAACCAATGTGAGATTCTCACCGTTCAATTGGATGTCATTTTATTGAATTCTTTATCTATTTCGATGGTATATTGTAGGTTAAGAATGTGATAGAGAAGCCCTACAACGATCACCTACCTTTAATGGAAGCTAGCAGGTATGCTTTTTTCTTTGTTGACTTATTTACATTTAATGATTTTTAATTATAGTTTGTTGATAAAAGAAAAGGAATTAGTTAATCAATAATCAAATTTGACTTTGATGTACCAATATTCAATTATTTTTATACTTGTATATATATATATATATATATATATATATATATATATATATTTATTTTATTTTATTTTTTTTTTTTTTTTTGAAGTTCGATTACAAGTTAGGGTCAAATAGGCGTTTAAGCTTTAAAAAGCTTTAGTAGGTCATTAAGTTTTCAATTTTGTGTCTAATAAGTACCTAGAATTTAAAACGTCTCATGAGTCCCTAAATTTCAATTGTGTCTAATATATCTTTACCTTTTCGACTTTAAAACCCTTCGGGACATAAAGTTCTATTATGTGTGGTTTCATGAATTTAAAATCAAAATTTGAGTGTAGCTTGTCGAAGTATCACTGCATCGTGTAGCAGAAGTCTTAAGGTTGCCTTTGTTGAAAATTGCAGGTTATGTAATATGGACATTATTTCTCATGTACAGCAAGTCATTTGCTTTGCATTTCATGATAGTAGGTTGCTCATGGATACTTGCCAAGAGGCAAAAAATCTTCGAAAAATCGTTACACTTTTTTATCTCGACTAAGTTGCTTGCTTGAAATTCTGTAAATACATTGTTTAACAGATTTTATTGCATATTCTGCCTAATTTTGCTTGTAAAGTTGTTATTACAACCATAACTTTCAAAAAGAGAAACCAAAACAATTGGGAATCAGACCTATAAGAAATTTTCAGTCAAAAACAAGGATATGAAATGGCGCGACAAGAAAACTGTTGCTGTACGCATGAAACGAACCCCGAAAAAAAGCTCAACGATTTGCCTTCGCAACTCCCTCAACCTCATCCTTTTTCTTGATAGCATAACTGTTGGATGAACCCTTTGCTGCATTAATAAGTTCATCAGCCAAGCATTCTGCAATTGTCTTGATATTTCTAAAGGCAGCTTCACGAGCACCAGTTGTAAGAAGATATATTGCTTGGTTAACACGTCGCAGAGGGGATATATCCACAGCTTGACGCCTAACAACTCCGGCTGAACCGATTCGAGTAGCGTCTTCACGTGGTCCACTGTTAACAATGGCATCAACAATAACTTGAATTGGGTTGAGATCAGTTAGGAGATGAATTATGTCCATTGCATGCTTAATAATCCTTACAGCCATGAGTTTCTTCCCATTGTTTCTACCGTGCATCATAAGTGAATTTGTGAGCCTCTCCACAATTGGGCACTTAGCTTTTCGAAAACGCTTGACAGAGTACCTCCCAGCAGTGTGGGGGACATAGGTAGCATGCTTGGAAGGAGCAACCCCGATGTAATCAACTAGAGACATGTCGTTCACATGGATATCATCGAAGCTCCACCGGTTGAACAGCTTCACATCATTATGTGTCTGGCTCAGTTCCTGGTTTGCCACGTCAACTTCAACAGCCATTGTTCCTGAACAGCAAACCTAACAGCAAACACAAAAAAAAAAGGTGAGTGCCGATTGGTTAGATTCCTAATCTGGGAGACTCTCACATTGGTTGGGGAGGAAAATGAACACCCTTTATAAGAGTGTGGAAACCTTTTCCTAGCAGACTGTTTTAAAGCCACGAGGGGAAGGTTTATAAGAGTGTGGAAACCTTTTCCTAGGAGACCGTTTTAAAGTCATGCGGGGAAGCTTTATAAGAGTGTGGAAACCTTTCCCTAATAAACGCATTTTAAAGCCATGAAGGGAACCCCGAAAGGGAAAGTCCAAAGAGGACAACATTTGCTAGCGATAGGCCTAAGCTATTACAAATGGTATGTGAGTCAAGCACCGGGCGATGTGCCAACGAGGAGGCTGTTCCCTGAAGGGGGGGATAGACACAAGGCGGTGTGCCAGTAAGGACGGAGGATCTCGAAAGGGGGTGGATTGTGAGAATCCCACCTTGGTTGGTGAGTGTGAGAATCCCACCTTGGTTGGTGAGGAGAACGAAACATCCTATAAAGATATGGAAATCTTTTCCTAGCCGGAGCATTTTAAAGCCTTGAGGGGAAGCCCGGAAGGGAAAGCCCAAAGAGGACAATATCTGCTATCAGTGGGCTGGGCCGTTGCATGACCACTTTCATTTGCTACCATGATGTTCAAATTATATGCTCATAAATTCCTCCTCTCCACAACGATCAATTCAAAACCCGACATTTTCCCTCCAAAAATACAGCCAATATCAGGAATTCAAATAAAGAGTTCCACAAGATCAATTCAAAAAATAGATCCTAACAGAACTCATAATAATATTTAATTTTAATTAGTAACTAGTTATGAATTAATTTGTTAAAATAAAATATTAGATAATAAATACAAATAAAACTAATTTATATTTTTATCTTCTTTTGATTGATGTAGTTTTATTTTTGGGAGTAATTATTTATTGATACCATAACTTATTTAAATAGAATTCATTTTTATTAGGTATCATAATATTAATTTTTTTGTTGATGTAATTTTCTTAATTGGTTGTTATTTTTTAATATCAATGAATTGTTTGAATAAAAAATATTATTATAAAATAAAATTAAGAAAAATTACATTTTTGGTATATGAAATTAAGATATGGTAGCATTTTAGTCATTGAACACTCCCGAAAAAAAGAGGAAAAAGAAGAAAGGAAGAATGTCACAACTGATCTTTCCGGCCACGACATAAATACATTTTATTTACAAATTCAAAATATAGTTTATGAGTTTAAATACATTGAGCTCGACAAAACAAAACAACTTAAAACACTAAACGTTTGAAAATTCGATGTCGCTTTATATGGTACCTACTTCATCTTCGATCAACTCCTTCTTGTCATATGAAAAATATGAGAGAACTTAGAATGAATATAAAAACTCAATAAGCAGCCTACTTAGGCTCTTAAGCGTGTCCATGGTCAATGCTAGGGTACCACACTCATTTATTGTCATGTTCTTGTTCTTATTCTTGTCTTGAGAACTTATATCCTTGAGTTTTGTTCTTGAGTTCTAAATTCTTATCATGGATCTTGGCTCAAGGACCTTGGTCTTAAGGTATCAGTCTTAAACATGGTTATGATCTAAGGATTTTGGTTCTGGGTCAATGTCTAAGGCTTCATGCATTCCAAGCGACACATTCGGAAAACCTACGTCCAAAGCTTCATGTGTTCCATGCTACGTAGTCTTAACTTGCATCTAAGGCTTCATGTATTTTCTGCGATATAGTCTGAAATCTACATTCAAACTTTCTTATGTTCCAAGTCGTATAGTTTGAAACCTACCCAAGATTTCTTACGCTCCAAGTGATTTAGTCTGAAAACCTATGCACAAGGCTTCCTACATTTTAAGTGACATAATTTAAAGACCTATGCCCAAAGCTTCATACGTTTCAATCAGTGTAGTCTAAAACCTACATCCAAGGCTTCTTATATTCCAAGTGATGTAGTTTGAAAACCTACATCTAAGGCTTCCCACGTTCCAAGCGATGTAACCTGAGTGATTAACACATTGTACCGTGGGAGGTCTAGGGGTTTTTTGTTTTTTGAATTTGAGGACCTTGGTTCCTTTTCCTAAGTTTTCCTAAGTACGCTTGTCTATCCACTTGATGAGCAAGTTGTCAGTTTAATCCACCAAGGAATCTATCCAAAATACGCTTGTCTATCTACTTGTTGAGCAAGTTGACTACAAGATGTAACAATTCTTGCATATCAAAGTACGTTTGTCTATCCACTTGATGAGTAAGTTGTCGGTTTAATCCACCAAGAAATCTAGCCATTTTATCCTCCTCGTCTTCATCATTGTATGCTCTATTCATAAGGGCCTCCATTTGATATGAACCACGACAAAGGAATTTTCATACATTAAGGTCCAATTACAAGGAAGAGAGCGAAGAAGCTACAACAAACAAACCTTGTACACTTATATTTAAGCTATAGTGAGCTTATCAAAGGAAATTCTAGAAGACGTTGGAGATATAGTGAGCTCATCAAAGGAAATTCTAGAAGACGTTGGAGATATAGTGAGCTCATCAAAGGAAATTCTAGAAGACGTTGGAGATATAGATAGCTAAGATTTTCTTTGCAAATTTTTGTGTTTAAAACTTCCATGCTGTCATTAAGTGGTTTTGATCTCTTGTGGAATGATTCGATCACGAATTTAGAAACAATTCAAATCACGAATTTAAAAATAAGTTTTCTTTACCTTCAGATCAACTTTTGATATCATTTTAAGAAGATCAACAAGTTTATTCCCTGGTTGATTCTATATCAACTTTTGATATCATTTTTGTTAAATTAAATTTTATAATATATGGTCAAATAATTATTATATAACAGTTCAAATATAAAATATGTCCGTAAATTAATTAGTTATATTTACCCTAATATCTATTGGGTAGCTAAAACTGGTTTTATAAAAAAAAATATATATATATATATACTCTATCAAAAATGCATCTGAACAAACAAAATACAATTTTGTTTAGGGTTTTGAAATCAGAATGAAAAGTAAAATTTTAAACCTATATTAATTAACTAACATCTTAATTGGGCTTCGAGGGGTGCGCCAGGCCCATACAGTATTGCGTAGCAACGCTCGAAGGCCCACATAATAGCAAGCTACCTTGGTGGGCCATCCCCCATGAAAAATTAATTTAATATCATGTGGGCCGCCGATGGCCCATAATCAGATATGAAATATTAATTTAATATTAGACTAGATCTTAGCCGAAAGGCCGAGAAAGGTACGAATTGTGGAGACATCTTCGGCGTGTTTTATAGTAGCGTATGGTGCAGACTTTCAAGTCATTTCCGATGTGGGAGGATCTCTCTCTCTCTTTCAAGTCATTTTCTTTTAATTCGTTTTTTTCTTCATTTTCTCTCCAAATTTTATCCACCGTTAGATCTTAAAACTAGATCCAATGGCCTCAATTCGTCTCACTTCATATATATATATAGTATGCCAAATCATGCATACCCTTAATATACCAATATTCATATAAAGTATGTTAGACGAACATTTATACTATAAATGACAAAAAAAAAAAATCATATAAAATCGATAAATAACATTATTGAATAAGAGAAATTAAAAACGATAAAAAAAAATAACTATATCAATATTCACATAAAGCATATCCTACCAATTTTAAATAAAATTATGTCCTAAAACAACGTGACAATGATTTAAAATATGTGATAATTTAATTTTTTTTTTAGATCCGTTGAGGATTGTTGGAGTTTTATATTAACTGATTACGAAGAAATTACGGATATATAAGTAAGAGACATTATTTTCATTGATACGATACGTACCATTGTGGAGGTTTATTGTTCCTATCCTAGTTAGTGATTTTGCAAGTTCTATGTCAAAAATAGCTTTTGAACGAGTATCGATATGCTATTATACACTTTGCTATTGATATCAATAGTATACTTTCATTTATTATTACTTTTGACGGCTTTTCATAAAGGCAAATCTCAAATTTTCTGTTCGGGTACAAATTCTAAATAAAATTATGGCCTAAAACAATGTGACAATGATTTAAAAATATAATTTTTTTAGGTCGGTTGAGGATTGTTGGAGTTTTATATTAACTAATTAAGAAGAAATTACAGGTATATGAGTAAGAGACACTATTTTCATTGATACAAGAGACCTTTTTGGGGAACAGAAAGCAAATCCACAATGGTTTATGCTCAAAATGGACAATATTGTATCATTGTGGAGGTTCATTGTTCCTATCCTATTCAATGATTTTGCAAGTTCCATGTCAAAAAAGCTTTTGAACCAGCATCAATGCTACTATTATATACTTTGCAATTGATACAACCATAGATATACGTGTAAATCTCAGAAACATGGCTATTAGAGGTGTACATTCAACCCGAACTATAAGCGTTGGATTGGATTAATATTTCGGGTAGGGTTAGTTCATTTTTCTGAATCCGAATTGAATCGGTTCAATTTTGAATTTGTGGGCAAAACCTTTGAGTTACTCGAACAATATATACGCATCCTTGAGTTGGATGGGCAAATATATGTTTTTTTATATTAATTTATTTAATTTCTCCTTAATTATTTTGTTATTTTATTTCCGTTCTGTTTTTTATTGAATTTATTTTTGTTTATATTATTTTATTTAATAATTATTTTTTATTGAATTTATTTATTTATTTAGTAAATAATTATATATTGATTTATTTTTGTTTATGAACTTTTAATATATTTAATCTAAAATTGTATTGAAAATTATAAATTATGGATAAATAAAATTTTAAAAAAAATATGAAACCTTTGTACACTAACTTTTAGGTTGGGTCAAAAAAATCCTTCCACCCAACTCGAACATGTACACTAATGGCTCTATTTGTAATTTTTTTTTTTCTATTTATTATAATTTTTTGTTTTGCAATGATTTGTTAACTTTATGCCTTTGTACACAATAACACAGCCCGCCAAAACACAAAGGTTTGAAAAGAATTTAAATCTGTGTAACGTTTATTTAGAGGACAAGTAATCATCAGTTTATACGAATACTGTAAAAGGAGTTCAAATGAAAGTCGAATCATATAAAAACCGTCGAAACGTTCTCCCGTTAAATCGTGCAACATTTGCTCCCACAACGCGCAAAAATAGCTCTCCTTATGTTCTTCGACGTCTTCTCCTTCTTCACTCTGATCATACTCACTTTGCTCTCGGTGATCGTCTCCCATGCTTCGAATTCGAGCTCTTCTTCTACTTGTGTAGTGAAAGATAAAGAGGAGGACGCTGAACTCGGCGAAATGGCTACCATGGAGAGCTGGATCGGCCTCGTTAACCGTATACAGAGGGCTTGTACTGTTCTTGGTGATTATGGCGGTGATTCTGCCTTGCCTACTCTTTGGGATGCTCTTCCATCCGTCGTCGTCGTTGGCGGCCAGGTAAATTGTGCTGTGACTTTTATTGATCTGTTGATTGTGCTATGCTTGTCTTTGTATGGTACTGTTTTTGGATGCATGTGCATGTGTGGTTTTCTTCAGGTGATTTTTCTTGCATGCGAGGTTAATTTGTTGTGCTCGGTTTGAAATGTAGAGCTCCGGAAAATCATCAGTATTGGAGAGCATCGTTGGTCGTGATTTTCTTCCCAGGGGATCAGGTAAGTCACTGTTGGTTCTAGCTTTGTTTTCTTTCAGAAATAGGTAAAATGATCAAAGTTGAGTTTCGAGGTGTGGAGCTATGGAAGAAACAATTGCATGAAATTTTCTGGTAATTGTTGTGGTTATTATTCTCTATAATTAGTCAGATTAAGTCGCGCGGCCAAACCACAAGAACAATCAACAGAGTATGTAATGGAAAAGGAAAAACAATAAAACTATAAGAGCAAGAAGAACTCATGTAAACGATTTTAATGATTCGGGCATGAGATCTTTGTTCCATGTTAAAGTTAGTCGAAGAACTTTTTCTATCAGTGACTAGAAGAATACAGATTCTGAAGGGAACAGTGAACCTCTATCCGAGTTATATTCAATTAAATTGGAATTTACTACTATTATCGAGAAGATAGAAATACCTTGCTGGTTTCTGAACTGAAAGAATCCTCTATGATCAATCATATTCAAATTTCTGCTGCCATAGAAGGCTTTTGAACCAAAGATTAACGATGTCCCTAATACACAATAAGGAAATAATTAGATAAACTCACCAACTGATAATTTTATTTTCCAGGAATTGTTACGCGGAGGCCTCTAGTTTTGCAGCTCCAGAAGACAGAACCAGGAAGAGAGGAGTATGCAGAATTTCTTCATCTGCCTAAGAAAAAATTCTCAGACTTCTGTACGTCATTTTGTTTTTTTAATATTATAAATGGTACTCATTCTTTACTTTTTATGTTCCTTAGAAAAGTTTCAGTCAGAAAAGTTATCTTGCTGTCAATTTCATATTTAGTTTCAGAGTACTTCCTGTTATGCTAAATTCATTACTCGAGGGGAAATAATTACTCTAATTTGTAGTTTTTCAAGGAAATTTTCAGTTTTAAATAACCAGCTTTTCATAAAAAGAGAAAAGAAATAATGTTTCAAAAAACGAAGTATGTATTGATTTTTTTGTGAACTGTTTGTTGTATACTGCTTAGTACAATTTCTTTCCCCGAAAATGTTACCTTTTCTAAAAAAGACCATAAGTTTTAGCGTTTCTATAAATGTTAGATGAAAACAGCAGTAAAACAAATTAATGGGGATATATTAGGATTCAAATTCACGTACACTTAGTCATGGTAGTTCAAAAGTTTAGGAATTCCTAAATTCCATAGTATCTCCACTTATCTCTCACTGTCTTGCACCACAAACAAAGTTGAACGAGAGCAAGCTGCTTTAAAATTTTAACAGGTGTTGGGATGTCTCTTTATATACATACACATCGTGCTGCTTGAAATGTCTGCAATATATTTGAAATGTAAGATGTAGTAGTTCCTAAGTTTACAAAGCCGTATGCTATGATGTATATCTTATCACGTTTTCCACTATCGAATCAGAACCAATGAAATGAAAATTTAAAGCCTTACCCCAAAGGGATCCATATCAGTAAAATTATCTAGATATCTTCCCTGATATCATTGTTAACTTCTCTTAGTTTTTTGCAGCAATGGTTAGGAAGGAAATTGAAGATGAAACTAATAGTTTGACTGGGAGATTAAAACAGATTTCTCCTGTTCCAATTCATCTTAGTATCTACTCTCCAAATGGTAACAAATCTAGATTCATAGTGTGGTTCTCATTATTCAACAACATCTGTTTTCTGTATGGGTCAATGATTCTTCCAGCTGTATCTTCACTAGTTTCTTGCCTTACTGGTTTTTACTGATGAGTCATTAGTTTTTGTTTTCATTGTAGCTAGTACATTAAACATCGAGATGTGTTCTTTTTATTATGCCACATTTTAAAATTTGATTAGGTGAGAAATGTTACTACATTATTAAATGATAAATCATAATTTTACATTGGATAGATGTGTCATTTCTGTTTCCTTTGACCTATATCTAAAAGACTTAGTGCCACGTTTCTAGAATGATTATAATTTCAAAGCCGCTTCTGCTTGGTTTGCCTGTTTGTTTCATAGGATATAATTGCGGAATTCTTCCTCTTAATGAATTTCATCCATATTATTACACTTCACATCAGATGCTGTTTTTTCACATTCTTTTGGTTTGATAAGACAAGTATTCAAAATAATATTGCCTAGTTTGATGAAGAACTGAACTATATATAGGATAGATATTCTGTTTCTGATGACTTTGACATTCATCTCCAAGAATCAGCTATCACTTTTCTAGGATAGTCATTATTTCTTAATATGGTATTATGATACTGCTTTCTTTGCTCATTTGTATCATCAATTGGATAATTCATGCATTATTTTAATGAATGAAGTTAATTCATATTATTATGTATTCTTCCCTGTGTTAACTGATGATGGAAATCTTTTTGGTTTCTTAATGTTAATTTGATCGCAGTGGTCAATTTGACACTTATAGATTTGCCTGGTTTAACAAAGGTTGCTGTAGGTAAACTTCCACCATTTCATTATAAACCATTATAAAATAACATCTTAAGTTCCAACCTTATTTTGAGAGGTTAATAAATTTATTTGCTGCAGAAGGACAGCCTGAGAGCATTGTTCAGGAGATTGAGACAATGGTCCGTACTTATGTCGAAAAGGTAAGGAAGTATCTTTTGTCGAAAAGGTAAGGAAGTATCTTTTGCTATAAACTTTTTGTTCCCAGTTTTACTGGAGTTACTTCTTTGAAATTGTTTTCATTGGAGATAAAATAAAGTAGATTCGCCTGAAAATTGTGTGTGCTGGACTGTTAAGAGACAATCAAACTCATATGGAAAAATAGAAAATGGAGTTAATTAAACAAAAATTTATGATTTTTCCGGCAATATTTGATCCATTTCCTCCCTTAATTGTACTATAGAATATTGAAATACTGCCTTGGATAAAATCAATGAAGTATTGACATCCCAGTTCAGTAATTCTTCCTCAAACTTAGGATGCGAGTTGCAGTTCTCAAGACATTAATGGAATTTGCATTTTACTAATAAAAATACAAACTGGAGAAAAGCTGGGAGAGTGTTTATTTTGAAATTTCCAGCAAGCTGAAGTTTCCTGATCTGATTAAGGATAAATTGAAATCTTGACTGCAGCCAAACTGCATTATTTTGGCCATAACTTCAGCTAATCGAGATATTGCAACGTCTGATGCTATTAAACTTTCTCGAGAGGTTGACCCCACAGGCATGTTTTTTCTTTTTTTTTTTTTTTTTTTTTTTTTTTTTTTTTTTTTTTTTTTTT